CAGACGGGTCGTCACCTGGCTACCTTCACTCGGCAGCCGGGGTCGGGCCTGTACACACTGACCACTGAGTCCCCTCAGGTAGCTGCGTCTGCGTCTGCGTCAGGTCAGTTGTCGGCCCCCTGCTCGTGTCGCACCCTGTCGCACCGGACGGTCCTTTGGCACCACCGCCTTGGTCACCCTTCGATGCAGCGCCTTCGTGGCATGCACTCCCGTTACCTTGTCTCTGGTCTTCCCAGGGTTCTCCCTCCCCTCCCACCCTCGCTTGCTCCTCCCTGTCTTCCCTGTGTCGAGGGGCGGCAGCGCGCCGCTCCTCACTCCTCCTCGTTCCCTCCCACAGAGGCTCCCCTGCAGACTCACCACCTGGACGTGTGGGGCCCAGCCCGCGTCCGTGGACAGGGCCACGAGCGGTACTTCCTGCTGGTCGTCGACGACTACACGCGTTACACCACGGTCTTCCCCTTGCAGCGCAAGGGGGAGGTCCCTGATGTTTTGATCCCCTGGATCCGCGCTGTTTGTCTCCAGCTCCGCGAGCGGTTCCATTCCAACTTTCCTGTCCTGCGTCTGCACTCTGACAGAGGTGGTGAGTTCTCCTCAGACCTCTTGGCAGCCTTCTGTGCGGAGCACGGCATCCGCCAGACGTTCACGCTTCCGGCCTCTCCGCAGCAGAATAGGGTTGCTGAGCGCCGCATTGGCTTAGTCATGGAGGTCGCTCGTACCTCCATGATCCATGCGGCTGCCCCCCATTTTCTGTGGCCGTTTGCGGTCTGGTACGCCGCGCATCAGCTCAACCTCTGGCCCCGTGTCTCCTTGCCGGAGACCTCGCCCACACTGCTGTGGACGGGGAAGGTTGGCGATGCGTCGCGTTCCGGGTCTGGGGTGCTCGTGCCTTTGTCCGCGATACCACCGCGGACAAGCTCTCCGCCCGCGCTGTTCCCTGTGTCTTCCTTGGCTTTGTCCCTGACGCGCCTGGTTGGCAGTTTTACCACCCCACCTCGCGCCGTGTCTTCCCCTCTCAGGACGTCACGTTCGACGAGTCGGTTCCCTTTTACCGTCTCTTCCCCTACCGCACTGCCCCTCTCCCCCCCCCCGCCGCTCTTCCTCGCTCCAGGTGCTCCCCAGGTAGACCCCCTCCCCGCTCCCGGTCCTGCTCCGTCAGGTGTGACTGCGCCGGTTGAGGTCACTGGTGACTCATGTCCTGCTGAGGGTGGTCCTGCTCGGGGTGCTGCTTCTGGTGGTGCTGAGCCTGGGGGTGCGGAGCCTGGAGGTGCGGAGCCTGGGGGTGCGGAGACTGGAGGTGCTGAGCCTGGGCGTGAGGAGTCTGGGGGTGCTGAGCCTGGGGGTACTGAGTCTGGGGGTGCTGCACCTGGGGGCGCTGAGGCGTCTGGTGAGCAGTCTCCCTGGAGCGGCCGTCTTCGTAGTCGCTCCGCTGGTGTCTCGCCGCTGCACTCTCGTCGTCGACTCCCTCTCTCCCCATAGCAGCTGCGTGAGTGGTACGTTGGCCGTCAGGGTCGCGCTGCTGGAGCTAGGGGCCCTGCTGCGGGAGGCGCTGGAGCTGGTGACTCTGCTACTGGAGTTGTTTCTGCTGGAGGTTCTGGAGCTGCTGAGGGTGCTTTAGCTGGAGGTTCTGGAGCCGCTGGAGGTGCTGGCGCTGGTGGCACTGGAGCTGGAGGTTCTGGAGCTGTTGAGGGTGCTGGCGCTGGAGGTTCTGGAGCTGCTGCGGGTGCTGGCGCTGAGGGTTCTGATTCTGCTGGTGTGCGGTCTCCTTGGAGTAGCCGCCTTCGTCCGCGTGTGCCTCTCACCTCACAGCAGCTGCACGACTGGTACGGTCGCCGTCAGGGTCGCGCTTCTGGAGCTCGGGGCTCTGCCGCTGGAGGTACTTCTGCTGACGTCACTGGAGCTGGGAGTGGTGCTGGTCCCGGAGGTGCTCGTACTGGAGGTACTGGAGCTGCTGGGGCTGGAGGTGCTGAGTCTGAGGGTGCTACTGCTGGAGACTCTGGGTCTGGGGGTGCTGCTGCTGGAGACACTGAGGCTGGAGACCCTGGGACTGGAGGTGCCGGTTCTGGGGGTGCTGCTGCTGGTGGAGCTAGTCCAGGAGGAGCTGGCACTGAGGGTTCTGGAGCTGCTGGAGGTGCTGGAGCTGCTGGGGGTGCTGGAGCTGCTGGTGCTGGTGGCACTGCACAGCCGCGCCTGTTCTTTGCTCCACCGTCTCCGTCGTCTCAGCCACTGTCTAACTCTGTGCTTCGCCAGGTTCTTAGTCTCCCTTCGTCTACTGGTCTTCCGTTACAGCCTGGCTCACCGCTGCCTGCTCCTTCTCCTTACACTGAGCAGACCGGAGGTCTTACTGAGCGTCGTGAGCATGCGTCGCGTCCTGTCTTGCCTGTCCGTTCTGGTCGTTCCGATCGTAGTGTTCCTCGTTCGCGTCAGCCGGCTGTCCCTGGCACCCACCTCGTAGTCCGTCGTCCTTCCTCTCCTCCGCAGCGTGTTCCCCTGCCGTCCCCTCCTGCGTCTTCTCTGCCTACCGTTCCTGAGCCTGAGTCTGACCGCACCCGTGCTGCTCACCCTACTGTCACGCGTCTGCTAGCCACAGTTGTCACTGACCCGTCGTTTGAGTCTGCAACTGCGTCTGCCTTAGTCGCTGAGCTTGTTGACTTTGCTGCTGCCTGTCGTCTAGACTACGCCGCTAGTCTTGTTGCTGAGTCTGAGTCTGTCTGTCCTCCGTCCGTCGGGGGTGAGTGTGCTCTTGGCACGGACGTCCTTGAGGACAGGCAAGAGGACCTTGAGTGTCTTGCAGCCGCTGCGCCTCATCTCGTGTCCATGCTGCTTGCCTCAACCCGGATGCTCCAGACATCCCGACCCCGCGCTCTTACGCTGAGGCGATCGCGGGTGAGTACTCCTCTCAGTGGCAGACAGCCATGGATGCAGAGATGGCATCGTGGAAGTCCACAGGCACTTACGTCGACGAGGTTCCCCCTCCTGGGGCGAACATCGTCAGTGGCATGTGGATTTTCAGGGTGAAGCGGCCGCCAGGTTCTCCGCCTGTCTTCAAGGCTCGTTACGTTGCTCGAGGTTTCAGTCAGCGAGAGGGAGTTGACTTCTTCCAGACCTTCTCCCCCACCCCGAAGATGACCACTCTTCGGGTACTGCTGCACGTTGCCGCTCAGCGTGACTACGAGCTTCACTCTCTTGACTTCAGCACAACTTTCTTACAGGGCAGCCTGCACGAGGAGATCTTGCTGCACCGCCCTCCTGGCTTCACTGGGTCGTTCCCTCCTGGTACCCAGTGGAGCCTCCGGCGGCCGGTCTACGGTCTCCGCCAGGCGCCACGTGAGTGGTACGACACACTGAGGACGACACTTGCTGCTCTTGGGTTTGCTCCGTCGACTGCTGACCCGTCGCTGTTTCTGCGCACCGACACTTCGCTGCCGCCGTTCTACATCCTCGTGTACGTCGACGACTTGGTCTTTGCCACTGCTGACACTGAGGCTCTCGCCCTGGTGAAGTCGGAGCTGCAGAAGAGACACACGTGCACAGACCTGGGTGAGCTGCGCAGTTACCTTGGCTTGCAGATCACCCGGGACAGAGCACGCCGCACCATCACACTGACTCAGTCACACATGGTGCAGCAGGTCCTTCAGCGTTTCGGCTTCACCTGGTCCTCGGCACAGGCCACTCCTCTGGCTACAGGTCACTCGCTCTCAGCTCCACCTTCGGACGAGTCCGTAGAGCCGAGTGGTCCTTACCCAGAGCTAGTGGGCTGCCTCATGTACCTGATGACCTGCACTCGTCCTGACCTTGCGTATCCTCTTGGCCTTCTGGCTCGCTGCGTGGCTCCTGGTCGGCACCGAAAGGTGCACATGGATGCTGCTAAGAGGGTACTACGCTACTTGTGCAGTACATCGCGCATGGGGCTCGTGCTTGGAGGACGGAGCGACGTAGTCCTCACTGGGCACTCAGACGCTTCTTGGGTTGACGACCAGGCTACGCAGCGGTCGTCACAGGGTTACACCTTCAGCCTTGGCTCTGGTTCAGTTTCTTGGCGTTCTACACGCTTGTCTTCAGTTCTCAGCTCCAGTTGTGAGGCTGAGATATACGCCACAGCCATGGCTGCACAGGAGTTACGCTGGCTCACCTACTTGCTGACCGACCTGGGAGAGCGGCCTCGTTCTCCTCCAGTACTGTACGTCGACAACAAGGCCGCCATTGCCTTGTGTCAGGAGCACAGACTGGAGCACAGAACGAAGCACATCGCTCTGCGTTACTTCCTGACTCGAGACTTGAAGCAGCATGGTCAGCTTCGTCTTGCTCACTTGGCCACTCGGGCCAACACTGCTGATATATTCACCAAGGCACTTCCGTCTGGTGATCATCAGCGTTTCTGCACTTTGTTAGGCCTTGTGCCCACTTTTCCTCACTTGCTGTAGACTTTGCTTGTACTGTGATCTATATATATACCTGCATGCTTGCTCTGCTAGGTAGAGATCACTGTGCTGTTGTTGTTGCATATATACCCCAGCATGTGAACTGGCCTTGTGGCCCTTTGCTTGTGCTGAGTGTGTGTGGTGACGTTGTGATCCACCCTGAGCTTACTTTGCTTCTCTTGACTGGTCTTGTGACCCCTTGCTCTCCCCCACTTTGCCTATGGGGGTGTGTCAAATGATATATCTGCTATATATGTTTAGGCTGTAGTGGGGTAGCCAATATGGGGTACAGCCCCTTTTAGGGTTTTATATTTGTACCCAACTATTTCATAGTTCATTCATTCCTGCTACTAGATTCTAACAACGAAGCCCGGGCCTGACCTGCTGGAAGGGGTTTTTCCCGATGCCTTTGAAAAAAGAGTGGATTTAACTATATAGATACAAAGCATAGACGAAATGAAGACCTAAGCATGAGCGAGCATGGGAGCTACGTTACTGGGAAGACCTCATCGCCCTATACAGCTCCTACGCCTACAGGGCAGTCCTTTGAGGCGCCCCAGAACGACTGCTGGGGCGCCTCCAATGCTCCGTCACTGGGAAGTCCTTTGCTCCCTATACAGCACGGCCTCTGTGCAGTCAAACACAAGTAGATCCGCTCCGCTGGACGTGTGTGCAGCTGGCACGGACACCACTTCTAGATCAGCACTCCCTTGAATGAGAGCCCCAGACCTGCTCCGAGCATCGTCGAACTGTCACAGCCAAGTCCTCTGAGTAATACGCAACTAGATCCGCGTCGCTGGCTTAGTTTGCAGCTTGGTACGGGCAGCATTTCTAGATTAACACTCCCTTGAATCACAGCACCCCCGACTTGGCAATGTCGTCTGCCATCAGGA